TGAAGACATAACGAAGACCCGATTTTTCATAGACGTAAAGAAGACCCGATTTTTCATTAGTTTTACTTTGGTTAATGAATTTTATTTCAAAAACGATAGAGTAATTAGAACGGAGACGTGACGAAAATTCGATTTTTCATTTATTTTACTTCGAATCTTAAATTTTATTTCGAAAACGGTATAAACGTAGTGAAGACTTGATTTTTCATTTATATTACCTTGGATTCTGAATTTTATTTCGAAAACGGTAGAAAAATTGCGATGAAGACATAACGAAGACCCGATTTTTCATTTGTTTTACTTTGTTTGATAAATTTTATTTCTAAAACGCTAGAATAATTACGACGAAGACTCTATTTTTCATTTATTTCACTGTGTATCTTAAATTTTATTTCCCACACGGTATAGACGTAGCAAAGACCCAATTTCTCATTTATTTAAATTTGATTCCCGAATTTTATTTCGATAACGATAGAGGAATTACGATGCAAACGTAAGTCGCGTCGTGAAGTCCCGATTTTTCCTTTATTTTACTTTACTTTCTCAATTTTATTTCGAAAACGGTAGAGAAATTGTAACGAAGACGTAGTGAATACCCGATTCTTCATTTCTGGGCAGTTTCATCCATCGAATCACTCAATTTCATTGGAACGTCGAGAGATACGATGATGGCATCGATTGTGTAACGGGTGATGTGAAAAGAAGAAGAAAGGAAGAGGAACGATCGATTAATCTTCTTTCTTCGGAGCAATTATGCGAAGTTCATTACGTAACAAACATGTCGGGAGTTTGTTTAGCGGCTTTTGCGAGACAATGATGAATCGCGTGGAATTAGGGGAACGAAGAAACTGAATCATCCAATTTATTGAATTTAATCGATGTTTGTTTTTTCGAACAATCATTAACAGATGCTAACCACGAGGCTATGGATCTTTAATTCAGTTGGAAAACCGAGTTTAACGGGGATAATAGAATTATTAAACCAGATTTTTAAGAATTCGTAAAATTAAGCATTTTAAAACAATTAAGATTTTTGGAATTTCACAAAAAAATTCAAAGGTCACGCGATAATTCGTACATAAAATATTTAATCGCGATGATACAACAATGATCACAAACAAGTATTAAAGATACTCTTTTGCAACGAAAAATAATTTTGATATAAAATTCATTAATATGAAAAAAAAGAAAGAAGATTTAAAGAAAGAAAATATAATTTTGATATGAAATTCGTGAAATGGAGGAGAAAGATAATTTAAAGAAATAAAAAATAATTTTGATGCAAAGTTCATTAAAAAGAAATGGAAAAGAAAATGAAAGAAAAATAAGAATTGGATAAAGAGAAATAATTTCGAAATAAATCACATTTAAAGAAGAGAAAACTTAATACATAATAACATATAATATATAATTATTATTATTA